CTCTAAGTGTTGGTCTCTAGCCCGTGTCACCTTCCTCAAGTGCTCGGATTTATAACCTCTCCCTAGGCTTTACTACCGACGCAACTCCTCTTGGAATCAACCGCGTCTCTCACCACACACTCCTCCCAGTTTATAAGTGTATTACAAAATAATCTAACAATAAGCACAAATACAAATTGTTTGTTCTCTACAATGGATGAGAACTCAATGTAAGCTCACACGTAAGAACCACTCACCACAACCCAAATTATACAATGTATGAAATACTAAAAGCTCAATGGTTGTGTGTGTTCAATGAGCAAAATAAAAAACTAAATTCAATGTAAAATCTAGCTTAATGAAAATGATAATCAACAAATAATATAAATATAAAGCTAGAATAGAGTTTAGTAAAACTTCTCTAAGATAACAAGAGTGAGAGAGATGAGAGATTGAAGCTCAAACACTAAAGATGATCCCTTCTTCCTTTTGTGAAAATTTCTTCATAAACCAAACTTGTAAACAAACTTTTAAACACCCTTTAAACACTTCTTAAACTTTAAACACTTCTTAAACTTGTTTTTAAACTCTTTTGGTGGTTGAAAATAGTTATAAAAAATGGGTATATATAGGGTAGAAGAAACTAGCCCAAGAAAACACCAAAAACCCATAAAACAATAAAATAAAAAAAAACTGAAAAATAGTCGTTACTATGCAACGGCTAGTTCATAAGTCGACTTATGTCTTATGAGTCAACTTGTTTCTGTTGTAAGTCGACTTAGCAGATAAAAACAACAAACAGGAAAACAGTTCATAAGTCGACTTGCTATAAGTCGACTTGCTATAATTTTAAGTCTACTTAGCAGATAAAAATTATATTTTCTAGAACAGTTCATAAGTCGACTTGCTACAGTACATAAGTCGACTTATAAACATGCACAAGCATTGTTCATGTATGAAAACTGAGTTTTGAACCGCCTTTAAAAATAGCAAATAAATTCTAAAAAATATAAAACTTTGGTAAATGGTTATAAACATGAAAATGAACATGTTATAAAAAGAATTTTTCAAATTATATTTCTTATCATTTTACAAAACTAGTCCAAAATATGAACACTCAATACACTTGAAATTTGACATTTTGACTCAATCATGTTTTGAAACTTTATGAAATGATTAAAATAGACTTGATAAAAGATATAAAATATTATTATTAAGTATATAGTCCAAAAACATAATATTTTTCTAAATACAATAGTATATAAAACATATGAAAGAGTATATGAATATAACTATTGTTTCATATCTATAATACCAAAACAACTTATCCACATGAAAACAAATATGTATGTATATGAATATATATCTATTTGTTTGTAAAAACTTTGTTTGTGGATAAACCAAAAAACGGATAAACCAATAAATTGTGTGTGTATGATATTGAACTTGAAGTATTAAATACACATAATATAATACCTAAACTATTTACCCAAGCAATCTTGATCTTTAATTGAGCTCGTCTTGGTAAACTTTGCGGATAAAGTTTGACCTTAGATCTTGATTTGATATGTATTGCTTCACTCTACTATTCCTTTCATCCTCCAATGGATATGATCGTGAATGCTCAATTTCATCCAACCTCCAACAATGATATTTGTGTAGATTACCTAACAAAACAAATGCAAGCACTCGACGCACAATGTTAGGAATTGTTTGTAATCATCAAAACAAGATTAGGGAGTAGGCTCATAACCATGAGGCTAACAAGACAGTCTCCACTGTCTCGTGTATCTGAGACAGTGTGTATTGTCTCGGATATGCGAGACAGTGAGAGCTATCTCACTAATTGCGAGACAGTCTCCCTTATTTTCTGTCAGTTTTGTTGAGTTTTGCAAGGTCCACGTGAATCCATAACTGCCTTGGAATGTTCATTAACATTAATGGACGGTTATATCCATGAAATACGCACACTACCCACGAAAATTGCTGCATTTAATACAAATTAAGGTAGTAGGACAGCGGTTACAAAGGTTTTGCCAATATCTTCTTTAGCCGAGACAGTGGACACTATCTCGCTCAAAGGAGACGGTGACCACCAAATCATTTGCTTCCTATTCGACGGTTATGGCTTCCAATGGCTATAAATACCCACCTACGCACTTGTGCACCGGAAAAAGGTATTATTGGCAAGCATATAGCAGAGAGACGCTGACGCTTGGTGAACTTTGAAGCATTCTCAAGAGTCTTTTGGTGTTTCCTTGAGTTCAAACTTAGATTTGTTCTTGAGAAGAGTATTTATCTTACCTTGTTAATATATTTACTTTTGTTCTTGTTTCCCCGTCGAAACATTAACATTCAGACTTCTTCGTATCCGACTCGGAACGTTGATTCGGTGGTCCACGGATAACGCATCCCTGACACAAGGAAAGATCCCACGCAAGTAGAAGCTACTACGTAGGAGTTTTTGTGTGTGTTTCTAGGGAATTCATTTTTTTATTTCTTTGAAAAAGGGAGAGATTTACACGTGTAAAGCTCATTCTTTGTTTCGTTAAAACGTTTTAATGGAAACAGCAAAGAAATTTGTTCCCGAGGCAAACATATACACATGCCAACCACAATGACAAAGACGAGGACCTTGTAGGAATGACGATGAAGTTGGACCTTCGCAATTTGTAGATGTCCCGTCACAACCACAAATGCAACCGGATGACAAGCTCGTGCAAGCTCGGGATCGTGAAGATATCGATGGAAGAGGACGAGGACAGGTCTGGGAAACAAGACAGAGGGGGAGCAGAAGAGTTCTAGGATGTATGTAAACTAAATTCATTTACATTATCTATTTTATAAACCTATATTTAGCATGTTTGTAATGTTTTTTTACGGAGTATATCATTTGTGTCTTGGTTTTATTCCAATATGTATCGAGTTAGTATGTACAGGTCAATTGAAATTATTTGTGCTAAGTTATTTCATGTGATATGTGGTGGCCTGAGAAGAGGGTTATATATTGTTTGTAATGTTTATGTGTGGAGTATACGTATCATTTGTATATCGAAATGAGTTTGTGGAGTCATTATACAGGAAATGCACATGTTGTTTGTGTTGTTTTTATCGCGATATGTATTGCACGAGACTATTAGTACTATTAGTCTCGTGCATTTTATTCTTGGCCCAAAAAGTACAAGGGACTACTATTCCCACGTATATTGTTCTGGGCAACCACCAAAATGCGAAAAACTCTACCCAAACACGAGACTACTAGTCGGCCTCAACCAAAGTGGGAAACTCGCTATCCAAAACACGTAGTTACTAATCCCATGTGTATCAAAAACACGTGGTCTCTCTGGCATCAGTTAGTGATTCAATGCATGCGTGCCCATGCGCTTTAGTAGAGAGTCGAGATGCAGAGCTGAATGGGTAAAAGCAACCCGTGTCTTCCGTGCCTTCTTTCCTTCAAAGAAGCAGCTTTCCACTTGCCATTAACTTTATCACTTCTCATCGTTTCGGTTTCAAGTGTCCCAGATCTCAGCAACATCGCAAAGTGCTCTTACCCAAGTAATTACTAAACCACCAATAACATGCAGAACAGAAGAAAAGCAATCCAAAGGTTCATCAATCCAAAATAAAACGTTATCATTGCCTAATTTAAATTATAGATAAATTTATGCCTCATATCAATCCAAAAGTTCAACACCATAAACCTGCAGGCTGAAAGCGCACATCAGATGCATCATTGCATCTATAATCAATACCCATTAACATTAACTCTACAAACCTACAGGCCGTATATAGTTCTAGTGCGGTAGATACGAGTCTCAAATGTAAAAGAAACTCACAACCTAGAGGAACCATAAAAGGGACGATAAATATCAACCGATAATCTTCAGTCCTGTTCTATTCAGTTTTCCACAAAATGCTCGGATAGATCAATACAGAACAGCACCAAGACGCTAACTAAGTGTTAGGATCCAAGCAACTTGGGGAACCCACCCTTAAAAGCTAGTTGTTAAGGGGGAAGAACCAAGTCACTTAAACACCCCATCATGCTTTCCATTTTACTCGATGTGGGACTTAGGTATCCCATACTACCCAAGTCCCTAACATAGCACCGCCCCTGAAAACCAACGTCCCGGCGGTTGCACTCTGTGACGCTTCACTCGGCGTTGCTTTACTCGGTCTTTCCGGTCAGCCCCTCCACAGGTAAGCCTTTTCGTGAGGCCGACAACCAGCTCTGATACCAATTGTTAGGATCCAAACAACTTGGGGAACCCACCCTTAAAAGCTAGCTGTTAAGGGGGAAGAACCAAGTCACTTAAATACCCCATCAAGCTTTCCATTTTACTCGATGTGGGACTTAAGTATCCCATACTACCCAAGTCCCTAACATATTGTCAGGAGCTGAAGCTGCTTAGACTCGAAATCAATCGATTGAGCCAAGAGCTTTGCAAGCCTGAAGAAGCTGAACAAGCTGAGGAGCTGGAGAACAAGCCTGAGAACATACTGGATTGATATGCAAAGACTTTAAGTACAGGGTCCTTGTTATAAGGTTTCAGTTCAATTCTGTTTACAGATTAACTACTTTATGTTTTTGTTGTTTCAGTTAAACTGTGTGCACGTGCACAAATAGTGCACGTTTCTTTAAGAGAGGATTGAATTGTTGAGTTGTATAAAATAGTGAGTTGTAATGATCAGTAAAGGGCATGAAATGAATGAATTAGATTGATTTCTTCTCCTCAACTCTATCTCAATCTCCCTCTTCCTCAAGTCTTCCTCAAACTTCTCTCTAGCAACTCTTCCTTCTCTGTTCTTTACAGGTTTATCATGGCTAGAAATATGGCTAAAGGGCTCAATAGAGAAATAAGGTCCTCACAATTAGTATCAGAGTAACTTGGGGAACCCACCCTTAAAAGCTAGCTATTAAGGGGGAAGAACCAAGTCACTTAAATACCCCATCAAGCTTTCCATTTTACTCGATGTAGGACTTACGTATCTCATACTAACCAAGTCCCTAACACGAAGTCAAATCATCAAGTTGGAAGGAAATCTAAAGATTAATAAAGATTCTTGTACATCGATATGCCACCACGCTAATTACTCTCAGGAGCAGGGGCAGCAATAATTCTACATCATGAAAATAGATTTATACACATTTCAACAGCATTCGACTGCACTCATCATTGCAGCCGCTTAAATTAGAGTTACAACCGCCTGAAAAGATCTAGTTACCTGAAGAAGCAAATACTAGCCACAGCCGCATATATAATTCCAGGATTGATGAACATCTCTACGCTGTTGAATTAGACGTGGTCAATAATATCTGTGGTGGAAGTGAGAAAGTTCTAACTTGAACTCGGCAGAGAATCGCCGATTGGTATATGGTGGTGAGGTGGCCAAATAACTCGATCAGGTGGGCATGGGAGAGGAGGAGGAGCAGGATGCGCAATGTAGGTAGGTATGTCGTTTCCAGGCATCAACACTGAAACACCTTTTGCATAGATAGACATCTGCATTACATTAAACACCTACATAAGAATTTGCAGTCATTCAAAACATGATCCTCTGTTTATGGATGCTTAAGTTCATACTCTCCTACAACTAGGCATTACAGAGTTATCTAGCCTTTCAAGATGCTATGATATATGATAGAAAATGCATATTAAGCCACATTATGATATAAAAATCTTATAGACAGCTGACGAGGGAGCTTAATGTCGTGATGCGATCTGATGGATCAACATGACCAAATAAAATGAAAAACACATTATAAACTACTTAAAGTTCAGATGGATTGTGGCGAAACAATTACTAATAAGTGGCAAATCTACATAGCATTTATTGGTGTCACAGGACACGAACGGATTACTTACTTTGAACATATTTTTATTTACGTGTATTTACTACTTAGAAGAAACCGCTAGAATTAGGGTAGGACACCACTAAGGAGGATAAAATTGCATAATTGTCAACGTAGATTCTAAATACAATTATGACAAATTAGATGAGGTTAGACATCACTAGGATAAAATCATAGATCCACCAGTGGACAAATCATGCGAGTATCTTAAAGTCACAACATGCTCATTGCCTACGATTTACAAGAAAAAATTCCAAGGGAGGTAATTTTACGGTTAAAATTTCCATAGGAGAGAACTTATTGATGCTATAGCAAAATGGATATTGGGAACTTGACCAGGTAATCATCTTGTCACACATATATAGTGGAGTCAAGTGGAAAAATATACAACAATGACAGTTTACTATGCAGAATAGAAGCTCTCATTAATCTCATGATTGCCAAGAACCACTTGCACATTATGTCCATGGAAGTAATTTGGGTGAGCAAAATTAGGAAATAGGCTGAGACTTCAACTTATGTACATAAAGGTGACTCGGTCAATGAGACTTAAAACCAAAATTGATACAAAAGGAAACACCTCGGAAAGTCTTGGATAATCTTTTTTAAAAATGGACCTACCATGTCCATAGTTGATGTGTGACTAAATTCACTAACTCACACCCGAATATTACTTTTTAACTGAACTCATCAAATCAGTTGGTTCCTATTAGAATTAATATAAAACTATAATTCTTGATTCTTACCATAACTTTAGAGTTTGTGTAATAGTTAAGAGGGACTAAATTTAAGATGGTATCCAAGCAACCCAGGTTCAAATCTTGCTAGCCACAAATTTAATGTGGATTCTAAAAAAATAGTTACCGCTACGTGAGTCCCAAGCTAATGGTTAGAGGGACTAAATTTAAGGGAACACGGCTAAATTTAAGAGTTCCCCAATCGGCTTGTTTTCCATGTGGATATGTTCCAACAAACTAAATCTTTGTTCATAACTGGCCGAGGCCTGAGCATTCACTATGGCTCGCATCAGGCCAAGCTTCACATCTTTGCAAGGTGGACTATGAGCCTAGAATCCCTTCGGTTTCCTTCATATATCAGCAAGGCAAGATTGATTTCAGCCAGTATACTCTTACACTTTCCCTCAAAGGTGATCAAGATCTAATCTAGAGCATGTTTGGCTAAGGCTTATTTTGAAAAACATTACAAGTTACTTATTACTTATTTTTATTATATTTTTTAAAAAGGTAAACTAATCATTTAACATCAATCAATAACTATTCTTAAAAAAACCAAAAAAATAAGTTGGAAGATCCCAACTTATTTTTTTCATACTTATTAGTAAAAAATAAGTAAGTTTTACCTAACATGATTTTAGGTACTTAAAAGTAAAAAACTTACTCATAAGTTAAAATACGTAGGTTGCTAAACATGATATTAGTTTTCTATTTCTCTTAACAGAGATTTTTATTTAAAAAAATTAAATTGCACTATCACCAAATAGAATATTAAAAAAACAATGAATCATAGGTCCCACTGCCAACTTTTAGAAATTTCACTACGGTCCAAATGAAAGATTTATGAATAGATTTGGATAATACAACTTGACATAATTTGATCTAAATGGAGAGACCTTTGTGGATTACTGGGTCTAAACGCTGTTTAAAAATGCATCAAATTATCTCCCTAGTAGAAGTCACCATCTGACTAATCTCATGCCTTATTTCTTTTTCAATCAAAATCATCAAATTCATCCTATTTTCAACACCGGTTCTTCCTATATTCAACTAAATGTGACACACAATTCAGTAAGCAAGGTAATCAACTAGAGAGTTATCCATGCTGCCTTAAAGAGATCCAACTAGGGTCGTTCAAAAATTTCTTTTTGCATGACTCCCAAACTGATCATCAAATTCACCCTATTTTCAACTCCGGTTCTTCCTATATTCAACTAAATGTGACACAATTCAGTAAGCAAGGTAATCAACTAGAGAGTTATCCATGCTGCCTTAAAGAGATCCAACTAGGGTCGTTCAAAAAATTTCTTTTTGCATGACTCCCAAACTGATTTTCCTTGGGCTAGGCTGTTAGACCTAGTTGTGTACTGCCAAAATCTGCTTCATAAAATAGGGATCTAGCAAAACTGGGAAACGAAGTTGTTACAATAATGTATAACATAAAAGGAACATGTCGGCATATATCTAGGAACATGTTGACAATTTGGCATATATCCAGGAACATGTCTGCAAGCTGTATCCCAGATGATGCAATGTCAAAATCCGCATCATAAAATATGGATCTAAGAAATTGGTAAAACTGAGCTAGAATATGTTACACACTCTTGCGTAATATAAAAGCAACATGCTGGCATACATCTAGGAATGTGTCTGCATACTCTATTCTAGGTGTCAAATGTTAAGGCAGAAATCATGCAGTACAATAAAACTAATATTTCAGCATTCAAAGAATTTTGCTAGAGCTAATTTTTTAAGATGAAGGTGTAACATCCTCCTTTGAACAAAACTCCGCGAAGTAGTCTACTAAAACTGGTTTTACACTGCATGTGCAAGAAACGATACACAACAAAGCAACGAGTCGTATACTGTCTGAAAAAATAATATACCCGTGCTAAGGGGAACACTAACATTTCACATAGACTAAGTCTTTGCATGTGAATGAATGCACTACTTCCGTAATGGTTTCAGCATTTAAGTATAGAGGTTTTGGAACCTTAATGTGAGCCTCCAAAGGTCACTCTGTGAGATACATCACACAGATGCAGCGTACCAAGTAGTAATCCATCTCCTATTGATGGCAATATTGTATGTGTTGGTATTTAACATCCATAATCATTGGCATTCCTATATTTCACTTTCTATATTTTTAAAATAACCAAGGACTGTATAAAAAATGTGGTTCAGAAATAGAACAAAGTAAACTTCCAACATTTTAGAAACATTTAAACACAAATAGACAATAAACGAAAAGAACCCGGAACAGGAAAAAGAAGGTTGGCAAGACGCAAGGTTCTCATGACAATGCCAATGTTTGGCGAAAAAAGAACAAACCCCTGAAAAAGTTTTTCATAAAAGAAAAGATTGTTAAACATCAGCATACATAACAGGCAGGCCTTTCAGTAGGTTTTCAGTTAAATTTACAACTATCGCTGAATGCTTAATTTGCAATACTGCACGAGTCCAATCCGGTAAATGGAATGTTATATAGGCTCATTCACATACCTATGCTAACTAATACTTCGCAGAGCTCTGCAGGATTGTAACATCCAAAATACTTGACATTGGTAAACAAACACTTGACACATGAAGTTGAATCTCTCAACTTCAACACTCCACGAAAAGCATGAGAATTTGGAACAGAAGCTATAACTACCAAGTTTGCTTGGCATTACCTAGTAGACTGCTGGTCAGATCATGTTTATGCTTTTAAATCAATGCACATTGCCATACTTACAGAACACAACAAAAGCCACCAACGTCATATTGTATAAAAAGTTCTTTTTCAATCGGAAAATAAAGGAGCGGGTGTTACATAATTAGTGTGAAACAAAACTAAACATCCTTTGTAATTGTTTCGCGTTACTCATACCCATTGGTGTGAAGGAAACTACTAATCTCCAACCAACATTTATGACAGCTTACAAGAATTGATTGACTGATGAGTAACAAGAAACCTGTATCTATTGCGCAATTCATCATTATAGCCAAACCCGTGTTGGATTCCCTCACTAATTTAGGTGTGAGACTAACCATTCAGTTGATTGGAATAAGCTGATTGGAACTAGTACAGACTAATCCGAATCAAGTTCATTTTCAGCTCTCAGTTCAAATTAGCTGGTACCCGGATTGTTTGGAATTAATTGTGACGCCCATACCATGAAAAGGGTACAATGGTAAGCAAGTGGCTCTAAAATGTTAGATAAGGGACACAAAAAGCTTGGGGCTTGGGAACAACAGAGAGTGGGGGCTCAGTAGAGTGTGAAGAAAAGGCAAAAAGATAAGAAAAGTAGGCATTCAATAATTTTGCAAGAAAACAGGAACAAAGATATGAGCCCCTTGCTGCTTTCTTAATCTTTACTTTATCAAAAAAGGAGCCTGCATCCTCATACATAGTTCTTTTCTTGTAGCACAGAAAAAGAAAGAAATCCCTTTTGCAGTTTAATACCCCTAAATTCCAATCTATTCGGACTTTAATGCCTAATTTTGACAGTTCAATACCCAAAGTTTTCAAATTGCTGTTAATTTGACAATTTGGTACCCCAAATCCTCAACCTTTGTCCCCCCCCCCCCCCCCCGACCTACAAAAAAGCTGAATTTTTTCTAGAAGATTTTGTTTCTCCACTTCTCTAATGTCATATCTCAACAACAAGCGTGAACATTTTAGCACTTCGTTCGATTCAATCGCCGGGGGAAAAAACTTCAGAATACCAAACTTTGAAAATTCCGAAAACTTTTTTACGGTACCAGAAAAAATGCCCAAAATCAGTGGCTAATTTCGTAAAATTGGGCCGATCCGTTACCTTGGGCGGGGTAATGGAGCTTGGCGCGGCTAGGTTTCCGGCGGCCGTGCGCTTCGAGCGCCCGGGCCCTCGCTCCCGTGGGTCCCGGGGGACGGTCGCCGTCGTCGGGCCTAGGCGGAGGAACTCTCGAAGATGGCGCATGACGAGGAACATGGAGATGAGGATGGCGTGGCGACGAAAAAGCCGAAGGAGACGGCATTCATCCGAGGGCTGTCGATCTGTCTCCAGGCCTCCTCGCGATCCGATGACCTCCCCCGCCGTTAAGCTTCACCGGCGGCATCGTGGGGCCTCCGGTCTCTCTCCTCATTGGTGGTGGTTTTGGTAACCTTAACACCCTCCTCGCGGCGAAAGCGACTGCGCTGGTAATGTTGACCGCGGGTGACCGGAGTCAGCTGGCTAGTTGGCTATTTTGATGTTGTCTCTCTATACAACAATAGCTGGTCTCTACTCACAGCTGCCAAAGGGGGAGGCAGACAAAAGGAGAGCGAGAGAGAGAGAGAGAGGGAAGTGCGAGTCGCAAGTGGGTTCTTTTAATTGGTTTTACTTTCGGGAGTTCTTTTAGCTGGGTTTTTGTCATGCAGACCCCCCATTTCTTTATTATCTGGGTTCTATTTTGCATTAAAAATGTTTCGATGATTAGCAGATGAATACCGAGCATATTAAAGAGGTGATCCTCAATCACTAAGGAAGCTTAATAGCGAGCCTAGGTGGCTGGTTGCAAGAGAAAACTTCTTGGAATATCATTTATGTATTAATCAACAATTTAATTACCCTCTAGGGAAACCCTCATTAATTCTACATTTAGGGGCTGTTTGGTTCATTTTTTATCTCCGTGGAAACCTTTTTCACCACCTCCACGGAAGAAGTTTCTTGGCCACGTTGGATAAAACGTTTCTGTCGGTTTATTTTCCCAACTTTGGTTCGCTAGGAATTCACAAGCGAAACTGAAGAAAGATCGTCGCCACGTCAGATTTCCTCCTCTCCCACAATTCCTTCCTCAACCTCGTAAAATCGACGGAAACTGCAGCCACGTCGGTTGTTTGGTTTCCTCGTTGATTTCTTCGATGAGCTATACTTACCTCCGCGCTCTCCTCCCGCCAGAAACTCCCGCGACCCACTTTGTCCCTGTATTCGGATCTGATCATTGACGACAATAATCAGATCTGATCTTTACCGACACTGTTGCTTCATAAATGAAGGTAAAAATTGATTTTTTTTTTAATTTTCTTATTATTAGTTTAATTTACAACAATGATCTCAGAATTTGTGGGGGAGGGGGGGGTCTGCTCTACACAATTTTTTGGATTTTCGAATCAATTTTCTGATTTTTCTATTTTTTGACATTTCACAGATAAGAAAATATGATTAGAAAACTTTGAATACCCATTCATGGAGAAAATTTGTGGGAGGGGGGTCTGATCTATGCAAATTTTTTGATTTTCGAATCATTTTTGGTAATTTTCCTATTTTTTTGAGATTTCACAGATAAGAAAATTATGAAATTTCATATAATTTCTTAGATTTTAGAATTAATTTTTGTTGTTTTATCATTATTATTGGGAATGTATTACGGATTTATTTTTGTAGGTGAGACATATCAGATTTAATTACTAATAAATATCTGGAGGTGATGAAAAAATTATAATTTGTGATGAGGAGCTTGTCACTGTAGCAGTGAGAATCCCCCCATGATTTCCTATTTTCTAAGATCAATTTTTGGTATTTTTAATTATCTCATTATTAGGTAGTATGAAAATGTTAATTGGTTGCGTGTTGTTAATGTAATTTTTCTCGTTTTAGGAGCTAAAGTTCATATCTTTGTTATTTATTAATGCTATTTATATCACTATAATATTTTTTTGGTTTGATATTGTAGTAATCCATGTTAGTAATTTGTAATTTGTAATTTGTAATTTGTAATTTGTAATTTGTTCAGATTTTGACACAATTCGACTTAGTTTCTAACTGGATAATGATTTTTTGCATCGTAGATGGATAATAATGGTGATTGTTCCGATGAACAAAGTGTTGTAAATATGGTTCAAGGTGCTGCCCTATCCATTCTAATTATAATAATTATTGTCATAAGAAGAATGCAAGCAAGGTGTAAATCAATTCGTAGTGGTCCAAGTAAGGAAAAAAGAAGACAAGAGAGAGCTAGAATTGAGCACATAGAGTGAATTTATAATGGTTTTAGTAATAGTTGCGTGAATTATATTAGAATGAGAAGTAGTGATTTTGTTAAACTAGCGAGTATAATGAGGAACAATATCCTGCTAAAAGACTCAAGGAATATAACAGTGGAAGAACGACTTATAACGACTCTGAACATTCTGGGTCATAAATCTAAAAATCGCATAGTTAGACTCATTTTATAAGATCAGGGGAGACGGTGAGTAGATATTTCAACAAGGTATTACAAGCAATTATTTGTCTGCGTAGACGGTACATGAGACAAGCCCCCAATGACATTCCCCAAGAGATCATTAACAACCCGCTATACTACCCTTATTTCAAGGTATATCTACACTTTAAGCACATTTAAATGTATAATCAATGTAAGTAAATTTTAATTTAGATGTGTTATACACGTATTATAGGATTACATTGGAATGATAGATGGGACACATGTAGATGCTATGCTTCCAATTAATCTTGTTGCACGATTTCTAGGCCGCAAAGGTGTTACACATAATGTGCTTGCAGCTTGCACTCCAAACAAGCTGTTCATATATGTCCTAGTAGGTTGGGAGGGGTCTGCAAATGATTATAGGATTCTTCAGGACGCATTGTCTAGACCACAACCACGTGGATTGAGAGTCTATGATGGTAATTAAATATAGACTTAACTTAAAATTTATGGCTTTTAATATTCAAACTTGACTTAACACTTTTATTAATAAAATTGTAGGTAAATACTATCTATGTGATGCTGGGTACCCAACCATGTTAGGTTTCATCTCTCCATACCGAGGTGTTCGATATCATTTGAAAGAACATTCGAGTAAAACACCTAAGAATAGAAGAGAATTATTCAATCTAAGACATTCTTCATTGAGTTCTAAGATTGAATCTGCATTTGGCACATTGAAGAATCGTTTCAAGATTTTGTGTGCTAAGCCACATTATCCTTTTCCTATACAAGTAGATATCGTATTGGCATGCATGATACTCCATAATTTCATTGTAACTGTGGATCCAAGTGGTGAACTAGTCAACGATGATGAATTTAATGAAGACATTGATGGTGAAGTGGCTTTCGAGAATGACACTAATTTAGTTGATCAACGATGATGAATTTAATGAAGACATTGATGGTGAAGTGGCTTTCGAGAATGACACTAATTTAGTTGATTTTACTCAAAATCATGAAGACATTGATGGTGAAGTGGCTTTCGAGAATGACACTAATTTAGTTGATTTTACTCAAAATCAAACATAAAGAGAGCAAACCGAATCAAGAAATGAGTGGAAGACTCTTAGGGATGACATTGCTTGGGCGATATGAGTGGACTACTGTGATATGTATAATCATGGTGTAATCACAGAGACTTGATTTTTATTTGACTACTGTGATATGTATAATCATGGTGTAATCACAGAGACTTGATTTTTATTTTTGTTCTATTTATGCTCATATATGTACTCAATAACTCTATTTCCATTAATGTCGTTTTGCTTTTATTCATGTTTTACTTCTTTCATCTAACTTTTTATATTTAATTAGTAATTGCTGATAACACTTCATTGAGTGGGAGAGATAATCAAAAAGGCAAGGGGGTTGTTCCTTCACCTTTCCCACTACCTCAACCCCCTCAGTCTGTGCATCACGGCGATGGGTATTTTTTATTTCAGCAGTCGTACTTTGTACAACCACCTCAAGCATACCCGAACATACCATTCCATGATAGCAGCTACTTTCCAATGCACCATAATATGGGGTCATATTCAAACATGCTCAATTCACCCACTTTGCCTCCATAATTTCACAGTCCTAATCTGAGTGGGGTGCAGCTTTCGCACACTAGTGGTAATGGATCAACTCCCGAATCAGGTTCCAAATGGGACCTCGTAGAAGAAGGGGTAGAAACATCGCTAAATCCAAAGAAGAAGAGGAAAAACACCACATCCAAAAAAAAATGGTGAAGTAGGTGGTTCTCAAGGGAACAAATATTTGTTCTAAGATTCCCGTTATGATGATGAGCCCATTCCATTTCTTATCGACTTGGTAAGAAAGTGTTACAAACCCGACAAAAGCTTTAAGAGAACCGCTTTTCATATGGCTTCTTAACACATTAATGAGAAGTTCAACATAGTTTTTAAGTGGGATAATGTCATGCACCGCATCAAAACTCTACGAACAAGATTTCGTGATATGGAAACTTGTCGTAATCTTAGTGGTGCTGGATGGGATGATAGTATGAAGACTGTTATTATGGATCCTTAATGTTTGGATAGGTGGATTAAGGTAAATAAAGCCTGGTTAAAGAATAAATTTATTTTCCATTTTAAGCAATTTTTCTAATTAATTAAATTATACTTTTTTAGGATAAGAGCTTTAAGAATACTAAGCTTGGACAATATGTCAATAAACCATTGAGGCATTATGATGATCTCGCCCTTATCGTCGGCGATGATCAAGCTACAGGTCAATTTGCTAATGATGCTTGAAAAAAGTTTAGCCGTAGTGAGACCATAAATCTTGGAGATGAGGTGAACTCACCAATGCATTCTCCCCAATCTACTCAAGTACACAT